TAACCATGTTGACTTTTGGGAGGTGGCTGCGGATTTGGTTATGACTGTTTTTTCCCGTTTGTTCAGAATGTACCTTCTATACTATTAAACTTGGGTGTTTTACCTGTTACTATCTAGAACTGAGGTCCTAGTCATTACTATTAGGCATAAAATACAGTCATGCTTCTTCCACATTGTCAAAGGGTGAAATGTCTTAGGTATTTCTTATTCTGCCTAGGCCTTGGGCCTTAAGGGGTTGACTAGGTTGCATGACATTAATGACTGAAAGAATATACATAGCCTTTGGTTCTAGAAACCTGGAACAAGAATAGGCTAAATTCATTAAGGTCCACTTTTTGATAAATCTTATATAAATAAGGAAATATAGTTCTTTGGTTCTGACAAGTTATTTATTCTTCTACAGGAATATTATTGACCTGAATGTGTCCTAATGGGTAGGAAACCAGAGTACTACGCCTGTCAATGTTCATCCTTCCTGAGTGCTTGTCTGTTTTTAGGAAAGGATTTTTAAAATCCATGTTATTTGCCTCATTGATTCAATCTCTATATGTCTTGAACCTGCATTTGGTGCCCAGTATGCACCAGACCTAAGATGAGCCTAATGGGCCAGGTTTTGAAGATCTTTAAATGTCAAACTTAGGCATTTGATCCTATAGATAATAGGGAGCTGCAAGAGAATTGAGGCTAACAGGGTCAGAACTGTTCTTTAGGGAAACCAATTGGGGAATTATGTGGGGAATGAATTGGAGTGGGCAGAGGTTTGATACAAGTAGGCCAAATAAGAGGCTATTGAAATAATCCAGGTGAGAGACTATGAAAGACTTAACTAAAGTGGGAAGGGAAGGGGAGAAGGCATACAGAGCCTACTGTGTGCTAGGCACTGTGCTAAGTGTTTTACAGATATCTCATTTGATCCTCATGACAACCCTGAAACGGGTGTTATTATTCCCATTTTACAGATGAAGAAACTGAAGCAAACAGAGTTGAAGTGACTTGCCCAGGGTCACACAACTAGTAAGTATCTGAGGCCAGATTGAACTCAGGTCTTCTTAACTTCCAGGCCCAGAGCTGTTATCCGATGTATCACCTAGCTGCACACCACCACCCACAGGTGGAGACGGTGTGAGTGATTAGAAGGGGATGTATGGGGAAAGTGTTGTAGAGATAGTAGAAGGTGTAGCAACTGATTGGATATGTGTAAGTGAGAGTGAGGTATCAAGGGTGACACAAAGTTCCCAGGGGGAATAGGAATTACTCAACAGTAACAGGGAAGTTTGGAAGAAGAATGGGTTTAGGGGGAAAGATAATGAATGCTGTTTTGAACAAGTTTGAGATACCTACGGGACATCCATTTTGAAGTGTTCAATAGACAGTGATGATGCAGGACTGACGGTCAGGAGAAAGGCTAAGACTAGATATATAGCAATGGGATTCATTGGCTTAGAGATGGTCATTGAACCCATGGGAGCTGATAAGATCACCAAGTGAGGGGCAGTTAGGTGGTGCAGTGAATAGAGCACCGGCCCTGGATTCAGGAGAACCTGAGTTCAGATCCGGCCTCAGACACATAACATTCATTAACTGTGTGACTCTGGGCAAGTCACTTAACCCCAATCGCCTCACAAAAAAAAAAAAAAAAGATCACCAAGTGAGAAAGTGTAGAGCAAAAAGGGAAGAGGGTCCAGGACAGAGCCTTGGGGTATACCTAAAAAGCAAAGGAGACTGAGAAGTATCGGTCCAAAAGGTAGCACACGAATCAGGAAAGAGCAGTATCTTAAAAACCAGACAGAATTTAGGAGGATAGCAAGTATCCGGAGCTTGCATTCCAATTAGTAATGATAATCAGCCACCACTGTATCTAGATTGCTGCTGCTATTGCTTTTTTTTTTTAAGTTTTATTAATGCTTTTTCCCCCAGTGATTTCACCCCCTGACAGAAAACAAATCAAACTTTCCCTCTTGTGATATAGAAGTACAATTGGGCTAAACAAACTGATCCATTAGTCACGTCTGACTACATATGCCTCATTACATGGATACTTCTCAGTGTTTCCACTCTTGTGGTTGCCATTGTTGTTTTAAAGGTTGTTTGTGTGTGTGTGTAGGCAGTGGGGTTAAGTAACTTGCCCAGAGTCACACAGCTAGTAAGTATCAAGTGTTTGGTCTGAGGCCGGATTTGAACTCAGGTCCTCCTGACTTCAGGGCTGGTGCTCTATCCACTGCACCACCTAGCTGCCCCCTAAAGGTTGTTGTGTTAAAGCCACTTTCACATCCCATGTTCTTCTTTGATACCATGAGAGAGGCAGGGCCAGTATCCTCATTCCAATTTAATGGGTGTTGAAACTGAAGCCCAGAGTCCAAGGTAGCCTTGTATCATTTCTGGTCCTAGCACCTTGAGTCTCTTGATTTATCTAGGGCTTAAGGACCTCAAGGTCCTCAGCCCTGAAAAAAGAAGACACAGCTGCCAAAGGAAATCAACTCTGCCGGGGCATCTCCAGGCCCATGGAGCCATTGATCCTAAAGCAATTTTGGAGAAGAGAGAGTGGGTCTAACTGACCATGGAGTGCCACTGGGGAGAAAGGAGCCTAGTACTATATTACAAAAGGCAAGAGCAGGCCACAGAAAGCAAATCTTACACCTCTTTATTGATAGTTAAAACCGATGACAAGGAACAGGACCTACTGTGGTATCAGTGCCCTGGAGAAGGTTACATAACAGGGAGAAGGGGCTTGATAGAGAAAGGGGGAGACACACCTATTTTTAAAAAACATAATGAGAGTCAAAGGTAAATCAAAACTTTTCATTTTAAATAAAGTCACAAACTCACAACTCCATGCCACTTTGCTTGTATCTCTCCATTGCAATTATCTCATCCTCCCTGCTACCATAGCTATTTGTGTCTTTATTTTCTGCCAGTTAGATTGTAGATCATTGAGGGCAGGGTCTTTGCCATCTCCATGCTTGGGCTATTCTGTGTATTTGTGTTCAGCCCATCTCTCTAGGATCATGTCCTTATCTCTAATCAATGTGGCTCCATGAGCACTGAGTAGTTGAGATGTATCATAGGTCTTTGGCCCATAAATAGCCTTCAGGGCATCATAAAAGTGCTCTGGCAAATCCAGCCTCAGATACTTGACACTTAATAGCTGTGTGATCCTGGGCAAGTCACTTAACCCCAGTTGCCTCACCAAAAAGCAAAAAAAAAAAAAAAAGTGCTTTGGATTGTTACTATTGGCATAAAACTGAATTTCATCTGTCTTCTTACTGAGCCAAGAATCCTGCAAATCTCTAAGCTTTGCTTGTACTGTCTTGGCCTTTTGAATTCTTACCCATCCTTTAAAACCCAGTTCAAGTAATACCATCTCTAGGAAGTCTTCCCTCATCCACTTGGTCAATAGCACTTTCTTTAACCTTCCCATAGCATTTTCATGTAACATAATATTTTAAAAGTATCTGGGTTTATGTGTTATACACCCACTAGATTGTGTGTTCCTTGAGAACTGGGAACGTGTCTTAGCTAACCTTTGTATTTCTTCCGCTTTGTGGCACTATGTTCTGCACACAAACGTGTGGCATGGTGCTCTGCACATTTAATAACTATAGGCTAAATGAATCAATCCCCAATGGCAGAGCGTGCTCTGCAAGTAGTAGGCCCTCAACTGTTTGTTGAATAATCAATGAATCAGAGGATTTTTAGAGCTTACTAAGACTTTGTAGTGAGACAGATAAAGTGCCACTCTTCTTTGGGCACAATGGTTATGTCTCTGACCCACCACCAACAGGACATGTGTTCTGAGTGGTTTTTCCCATAGCAGATATTGGCTGCACTGGGCCATTTGCTTTCTTTTATCATGTATCTCTCATGACTAGGGCAGGAATATGCTAGACAGAGAACCAGGGTTCAGGATGATGGGGGTATAGATGCATCTATGAGACTGGACCCGGTCCTTGTTCCATCAGTTCTCTAGCCTTAAATGCCCCAGTGGCCATCTCAGCAAAGAAAGGGAGAAGAAGCCCACCTCAAACAGAAGTGAATAGGGTGTGCTACAGTTGGTTTTAAATCTCCTATTATTAATATCCACAGACCCAACTCTGAAGTGCAGAGTTAAGCCAAGGCAGGACTTTAGTGAAGCCTTGGGGAAAGCTGTGGCTGAGAATGTGGCTACACATACAAGTATGGACTGAGTGGTCTGGCTAATCTGGGAATCCCCGGAGCCTCTCTTTGTATTCTTTCTTCCTGGGAAGAAAAAATAGGAAGGTAAGGTTCAAGCTAACTACATTTTCCTCTGTTATTTTCTTGCCTCCTCCTCAGTCCTCTCAGGAGAGATAGTTTGGAAGTGACTCTTTAGCCTTCCATCTTTGCCTCTGGAGGTAGTGGCTGCCAAGGGGCCTGGAAGAACACTGGGAAAGGCCAACCCATATAGTTCCCATTTTCTACCCTCTTATGTTCCCCTTGTCCTTCAGTGGGGCTATTCTTTGCCAAGCTCCTCCAAAATCACTTCCCGCCAATCCCAGCACCCCCTTCACCACAGATGGGTTTCTGATGACCACACTGGCCAATTTGGCATAGGAAATGAGGAGGGTATAGCCACTCACTAGTCCTGACAAGAAAGCCAAAACAATTTCTTATGCCTTGATTTGGTCTGGTAGGAGGCCAAATGCCTCATTTCTTGAGAAATTTTTAATGAGAAGCTAAGCTCACAGCTCTCCTGAGACAATAGCATGTACAAACTTTCAGACTCCTTTCCTAACACTGTCCCAAGGCAGGCTGGAAGAAAAAAAGATGCAGTCCCCTTTCTCTCAGCAGGTCTGGTCTCTGGGAGGTCTCCATCCCAATTTCTTGCTCAGTGAGCTGCTAGGAACTAAGAGGATTTTTGGCAATTGGAAGAGGAGAAATGTGTGTCTATCCATAAACTCTATGGCATTCATAGTGCTTGTATTTTTCCATTTGACCCAGGTCTCTCAAAGCTGTGGCTTAAATTGGAATAACAACCATCCCAGTCAGTTGCCAAGAGTAATATTGACCAACAGTCTTCCTAGGAATCAGAGTCAGAGAATGTCAGAACCAAAAGAGCTTTTAGATTGTCAAATGTTATAGTTGGAGGGCACCTTATAATATAGAACATAGAACGCTATCACTGGAAGGGACCTTAGATCATAGAATATAGAACGTTAGAGCTGGAAAGAACCTCAGAGATCATCTAATCCAATGCCTTCACTTTAAAGAGGAAGACCCAGAAAGAGAAAGTGATTTGTCCAATGATCCACTGAGTCAGTGACAGAACTAGAACTAGATGGAGATGGGAATTAGGAAGATGAGTATGACCAGTAGGTAGTGTACATGAAAGCAATGTGATGGGTTGCTGAGATGATCCAAGAGTTGGTCACAGTGCTTGGGATGCTACTCCTTATGGCTGCTTTTGGTACTGGCTCTCAGTGGCAGTATAGAAGTCCTCCAGCACACTCTGGAGATACTCAAATGTAGGCCGATCCTCGGGTTTGTTCATCCAGCAGCGAGTCATGATGCTGTATAGTTCTTCTGGGCAATTGTCTGTCCGAGGCATCCGGTATCCACGATCCAGGGAACGGATCACTTCAGGGTTAGACATTCCTGAAAAACAGGGGAGAACAGTCAGATAGGAGAAGGAGAAGTGGGAGCCATCCACATACTCTCACCTAATTTCACTTTTGACTTCTCATGAATTTGAGGGACAGGAAGCTGGGGTTTTAGAGGGGGTATCCGTAGTCTTGAAGTAGTCCAATGTTTACCCTCAACTTTTTTCAGTCTATAATATACCTGTAAACTTAAAAGGTCTCCAAGAGGCATGGCTTCTCTCTGTTCTCTATCTAACCTAGAGATGTTTACCCTGAAGAAGAAAAGATTTAGGGAGACATCTTTACTGTTCTCCAATATCTAAAGGAAAGTTTTGTAAAAGAGGGATTCAATTTGAACTAAGTCCTGGAGGACAGAATTGGAACCCTAGTATTGGAGGTTATAAAGAGGCAGAATTCACCTCAATATGGGAAAGAACTTCCCCAAAATTAAGGCGGCTTAGAAACATGACTGTCTTGGTAGGTGTTGAGCTGCCTGTCACTGATGATGTTTAAGCAGAGGCTGGAAGACCATTCATCCGAGATAGTATAGAAAGGATTCATGCATTGGATATGGAATTAGAGAAAATAATCTCTCTTCCAATCCTGGGGTTCTATTAGTCTAGTGATCTGTCTATATCCTTTAACTTAGCCCATGATATATATACATACAGCTGTGATGGTCACTTGCTACAAGTGGTATTCAAGAGAGTGGCAGCCTGACTGCTCTAATTGGACTTCACAGGCCCATCTATACTTTTGGCTCTCTTCTTTTCAGCTGAAGTGAAATGGTTTTTTTGGAAAGGCTGTCCGGGAAACTGGCTTATAGTGATTTTTTTTTTTGTTGAGGCAATAGAAGTTAAGTGACTTGCCCAGGGTCACATAAGTAGTAAATGTCTGAGGCCAGATTTGAACTCAGGTCCTCCTGACTTCAGGGCCAATGCTCCACCTAGCTGTCCCTACTTATAGTAATTAAACTCACAAGAGTCTAACTGATAAGCCAGAAGAACAGTTGAGTAATAAAAATACTAGTTATAATAATATATTTTTATATAGCCTTGTATTATTAAAAAAACCACTTTATATATATTATCTCATTTGATCTTCATAGTACCACCTGTGAAATTCATTATCCATGTTTTACAGAAGGGGAAAATGAGACCCAGAGAAGGAGGCACAGCAATCAAGGCCAACCAATTAGAATGTAGAAGGAAGGAAGGAAGGAAATAAGCATTTATTAAACATTTACTATATCCCAGATACTGTGCTAAGAGCTTTACAAACATTATCTCATTTGATCCTCACAATCCTGGGAGATAGGTACTACCTATTTTACAGTTGAGGAAACTGAGGCAAATACTGGTTAAAATGACTTGCCCAGAGTCACAAAGCTAGTCTATGTCTGAGGCTGGATTTGAACTTGGGTCTTCCAGTACTCTATCCACTGTGCCACCTAACTGCTTCTAATGTGGTAGAATCAGGACAGGGATCCAGATCTTCTGACTCCAACTCTAGGGTTCTTTCTACCACACCAAAGGCTACCAGGACAGTCCTGTCTGCTAAACAGCTCATCCTTCCCAGAAGGAGAGTCTACTTGGAAAAGCTAATCAGTAATAGAAGGTTGCTTGACAATGGCAGATAAGGACAAAGGGAGTTGGAAGGTTTGAAGCTCCAGTTATCCAGATAATTTCCTCCAGCAGAGGAATAAGTTAGTGCAGTGGAAAAAACATTTTGGTTTTGGATTCAGAAGGCTTGAGTTCCAGTCCTGGCCCCACTAGATTCTAGCTGGTTGACTCCGATTATCATTTTCTTTCTTTGGGCCTCAGATTCCCCACCTGGGAGGGCTGCTTTGAAGATCAAATGAGATTATGTGTATAAAATGTTTGGAAACTATAAAGTGCTATGTAAAAATCATCCATTATCATAAAGAGTATTATTTAGTAAATTGTTACTTTTTTTTATTAACTGTGGCTCTGTTTCTTTTTGATTGTGACCTGGTCTCATTTTCTTCATTTGTAGAATGAGGATATTGGACCCAAATAATTGGAGAAATAATATTCATGCATGGATAAGCTAAGGTAATATATTGAAAATGACAATATTCTCTGAATTAATTTACTTATTTGGTGCATAATGATCAATTATGGAGCTAGGGAAAAAAATAAAATCATTTGGAGAAACTAAAGGTCAAGAATTTTAAGGGAAATAAAAAAAGTGGGAAGGAAGGGGGTCTAACTAGATCTCAGACTATATACTAAAAAGAAATAATCATAAAAACTATTTGTTAACTGGTGGAAAAAATAGAGAGGTTGATCAGTAGAACAAATTAAATATACAGCATACAGAAGCAAATAAACATAATAGCATAGTGTTTTTTATTTGTTCATCATGTTCAACAAACACGAAGACTCCAGCTACTAGAGTATGAGCTCATTTTTCAGCAAGAAACCTCTTGGAAAACTGTAAAGCAGTCTGGCAAAAATTAGGTAAAGACCAGATCCTCACATCATATATCAAGATAAGCTCCAACTAGATATGTGACTTAGATATAAATAGTCACATCATAAACATATTAGAGAAGCAAAAAAGAAATTCTCTTTTATAACTACCGATAGAGAAGAGTTTGTGTCCGAAGGAGGTATAAAGAGGATCACAGAAGATTAAATGGACAGTTTTGATTACATGAAATTAAAAGACTTTTATGCAAACAAATAGAGGTTTAACAATAAATTAAAATTAGAAGGGAAACAGTTCATTAGGAAAAAAAATCTCTCTGGCAAGTTTCCCTGATAAATATCTCATCTCAAAGATATATAAGAAATGAGTTCAAATTGATAAGAACAAGAGCCATTTCCCAATAAATAAATTGTCAAAGGATATGAACAGGTAATTTACAAAGAAATAAATCTAAGGTATCAACAACCATATGAAAATAATGCTTCAAATCACTAAAAACCAGAGAAATGCAAATTAAAGAAGTTTTACCTTACACCCACCAGATTGATAAAGATAATTCCCCCTCTCCCACAAAAGAATGTAACAAATGTTGGAGGGGCTATGGTAATACAAACATACTAATGCACTTTTGATCAATCCATGAATTGGTACAGCCACTCTGAAAAGCAGAAAGGAACTGTGCCTAAAAAGTCACTAAATTGTGCCTACCCTTTGATCTAGGGATACCACTACTAATCCTATACTCCAAAGAGATCAAAGGAAGAGGGAAAGGACACATATATACAAAAATATTTATAGCAGCTCTTTTTATATTGACAAAGAACTGTAAACCAAGGGGGAGTGCCATCAATTGGGGAAGGTCTGAACAAATTATCACATGTGAATTTAATGGAATATTATTATGCCAAAAGAAATAATAAATGGGATGGTTTCAGAGAAACCTGTGAATACACATTAACAGATATAGAGTGAAGTAGGAAGGATTGTGAGGACAGTTTATACAATAACAACCCTTTTGATGTCACAAACAACTTTGAAAGACATAAGAACTCTAAGTAATACAATAAACAACCATGATCCCAGAGAATCAATGAAGTTTGCTACTCACCTCTTGACAGAGAAGTAATAGACTCAAAATTCAGAATGAGCCATATATTTTTGAACATGGACAATGTGGAAATTTCTTTTGCCTGACTATACATGTTTGTCACAATGTTGTATACATATGTTGTATACATATTTGTTTCTTTCTATTTTTTTTTTCAATTTGGAGGGAGAATGAATAGCAATAGAGTTCTTTGCCCACAAAAAAATGATAAGAGAAAGAAGAATAAAAGATATTACAAACAGGACAGCTTTGAAAGTTACATGTTAAGGTTATTATATTCTTAAAGAGAAAAGCAAGCTCTACATATTAGAAGTTCATAGTTTTGTGTACAGTTCCCCTCCTGTTCTACAACATATATGGAAATACTCAAAATTAAAATAAAGATAAATAAAATAAGGATGAACTAGGTGATAATCTCTAAGGCTCCTTTTAGTTCTAGTTCCTATGTAATAACACAGAACTATGTAGTATAAAATATTTTCTTTATGAAAATCCTTTTGAAGTGACCAGAACATTTTTCTCTGGTCAGTGTTAGGGACACAATGGCAAATTTCTACTCCCCAGCTTTAATTTTTTAATATTATCATCAAAAGCAGCCCTCTGTACTGCCAGCCTCACAGGACTATTAAAAAGCCTAAATGAGATCATAAGTAAGGCATTTTGCAACTGTAAAGCATTATAAAACCTTAATCAGTTTTGCATACAGGCTAGATTTGTTCTCCAGATTTAGTTTACCTAAAATCTGAGATCAGCCTAGAACAGGTATTATTTTTGGAGTGTATTTACGTAGGGGCAGCTCGATGGCACAGTGGATAGAGCACCGGCCCTGGATTCAGGAGGACCTGAGTTCAAATCCGGCCTCAAACACATAACACGTACTAGCCATGTGACCCTGGGCAAGTCACTTAACCCCATTGCCTAACCAAAAACAAAACAAAAAAAAAAGAGTGTATTTATTTGAAACTTACATATTTTCAAAGAGATTTTATGTTAGGGATATACCTTATATTTGGGATGACATAATATTATTGTACCTCTGGCAAACTGATCTTCCTAAAGCAGTGCATACACATACTACTTTCTGCTCAACAATTTTTAATAGTTCTCTGATCCCATTTCATTGAATACAAGCTCCTCTGACCTGCTTTTAAGGCCCTCATTATTCTAGTTTCATAATCTTTACCCTCTCCTTACTTTCCCCTCATTCCATAATATACTTCCTTTGCTCCTGAAGATATCATCTTTCTCACCTGGATAGGGAATCCGGCCATAAGTGACAATCTCCATCATAAGGATGCCGAAGGACCACACATCTGACTTGATGGTAAAGGAACCGAAGTTGATGGCCTCTGGAGCTGTCCACTTAATGGGAAACTTGGCTCCTGGTGGAGGATAGAGTTGAGTCAAAAGAGTCAACTGCAGGGACAGGGGTAAGGGGGAGTTATGATGTGAATGGGATCCCCAAATGGCCAGCATCTGTTCCCTGGTCCAACACTTGTACCACCCTGAAGATCCAGTGTCCATCCTACCCTCATATATACACAGGCACTTTCAGGTAGAGGTCTTGGAGTGCAGTTAGGGAATGAAATCCAACTGCCCAATCTTCTGATGATGAGCCTTTCAACTCTTAGGGAATGAAATCCAACAATGCAGATGTGTTGGTTTTCTTGAACACATCAAGAATCTGTTATTTCCTTGGCGTGGGTGCTCCCTACACCTGGTTTGATCTCAATCCTTCCACTTAGCAATAGCTAGCTTCAGGAAGCATTACCAGAATCAAATAAGATAATGTAGGTAAATACATACACACACATATTTTGTATAAGTAAGATTCTGTAAAAAGGAGAGCTTACATTTACATGGATCAATATTTCAAAATTCTGAGGAAGTATTTTGAAAACTTGAAAGCATCATACAAATGTGAGTTAGTATTATTTTTGGACTAGACCTGTGATTTCATTGATACAGGAAATTCTCAATGAGGAGACTCTCTCAACCAATGCAGATTGGTTTCTGCTTTATTATTTATAGACCTAAAAGAGGAGTTCTAAGCCTTTATTTTTAGCGTCATGGATTCCTCTAGCAGTCTGGTAAAATTTATGGATCTCTTCTTAGAAGAATGTTTTTAAATGTATAAAATACAATACACAGGATTACAAGGCAAATCATTTGTATTATTGAAATACATTTATCAAAATTTTTTTTAAAACAAGTTCACAGACTGACTATGTGACTCTGGGCAAATCATTTAAACTCTGTTAGCTTGTGTTTCCTTAAGTTTAAAATGTGGATAACAGGATCAAATGGAGCAACCTTCCCTAAAGTGTTAAGCTTAGTGTGTGTGTGTGTATACACACATGTATATATATGTGCACACACACACACATATATACATACATATGCATATATATATGTTAATAACCCTGGATAAGTTACTTAACCTCTTAGAGGAAAGGGAAAGGAATAAGCATATATAATATATATGTACATTATACCTATAATCTATGTGTGTATATAATACATATATAATAACACATTATATGTGATACATATCATATAAGCATATATGTATATAACATATTATATGTAGGTGTATGTGTATATACTATATATCTATATCTATATATAATACACATATAATAATATATTATAAAATGCCTATATAATATATGTACATATGCTATATTATAGAATGCATATGTATGTTATATGCATATATGTATGTATAGTTATCTGTGTATATAACATATTAAATAGCTTATATGTTAAATATAACACATATAATGTCACATAACATATAACATGTTATATATACTATATTATATATAATATTCCTATTCCCTTTTCTTCCCTCTAAGAGGTTAAGTGACTTGCTCAGGGTCACACAGTCAGTATATACCAGAAGCAGGCCTTGAATTCAGGTCTTCCTGAGCCTGAAGCCAGTTTTTTATGCAACACCGCTACTCAGTTGTTGTTATTATTATTATTATATAAGTGGGAGTTCTCCCACCACTAGCATACACTGAAGTCCCTCCTCATCTTTAGTAAATGGTTTAATGAATTGCTGTAGTGAAAAAAAAAATTCCCTAGTGCCCAATCTTCTGATGATGAGCCTTTCAACTCTTAGCTAGGTTGGTCCTTACACAACAGGCACACAATCAATCAATGAATGGTCCTCCTTTTGAGGCTTTCCCAGTTTAGGAGAATCAATAATGAGTTGTTCTTTCAACCCTTGGAACTTCTGGCACACACTTTTTGCTTTTTGGCCAATTGATGTTTTCTTCTAAGTGTTTATAAATATTTGGGGGGGGTGATGCAAGACGTCATGCTTAACATAGAGCACTTAAATACAGAATTGAACTATTTTTTGAGAGGTTATTGGCGTCCTCATTTTTTGATAAAAGGTATGTGATACCTAGGAAAGATATGTAAGTGATAAGGCTTTCATCTGAAAGGAAGGTAGTGAAATGATTTGCTATGACTTATAAGCCCCCGGGAAATGTTGAAGTCAATAATTATGAATCTTATCCAGGCCTGCTGCTTTCCACTACTGCAAAGAAACTAATGTTTCAGTCATTGCCTTTGATGGTACCTTTTGGTCATTCATTTTATATATAGTTCACTAACAGTCTGCTTTGTGCTTGATCCATTGAACTGGGTTCTTGCAACCATAAAGACAACTAGAAAATTTCTGTTTTTCATTTTTCATGGGTTCTCTTTCTCCTCTGACTTTTTTGCTTTTCAAGCCTCTGTGCTTAAGTTTGATGGTTGTTAAATTATTTATTTTGTTCTTTTCTTTCATCTCCTCTTTCTCCTTTTTTCATTTCTGCTCTTCTTTTTCTCTTCCTTTCTCCTCTGCTCTTCTTTCTTTCCCTTTCCCCTTTCTTCTCTCCTTCCCTTTCTTCCCCTCTCCTTTTCCTCCCTCTCCCCTTTTCCTTCTCTCTCCTGTCTCTCTCCCCCCCTTTCCTTTCCCTCCTCCCTTTCTTTTTTCCTTTTTCTTTCCACTCTCCCTTTTTTTCTACTCTGTCTTCTCCATCTTCTCGTTCTATAACCTCCCCATCCTGGTCTCTGAATTTCAGTCTTTTTCTCTGTCATTTCACAAAGTATACATTCAGTGAAACAAGTCCCTATCTAAGATAAAAACCAGTCCTACAACTGTAAAAGGTAAGTCTAGATGCTCTCCTGTCTGTTCCTCTTGGGTTGGCCCAGGTGTCCTGTCTGCTGAGGGATCTACACTTGAAACAGTTGGACCTCCATTCTCTTTCATACCTCACCCTGCTCCTTACACCTAAGATCTGGCCTGAAATCTCCCCCATTAGTCACTAATGGCCCAGGTAGCCAAGTATAAACTCCCATTAGTACAATTAAATTTTTGAACCTAGGCCTGGAGGAAACAGGTCAGTTTTGAAGAGGAGAGTTATAAGCTCATATATCTAAGAAAAAAGGGGCAGCTAGGTAGCACAGTGGAAAGAGCACCATCCCTGGAGTCAGGAGGACCTGAATTCAAATCCGGCCTCAGACACTTGACGCTTACTAGCTGTGTGACCCTGGGTAAGTCACTTAACCCCATTGCCTAGCAAAACAAAACAAAACAAAACAAAACCCAAAACATATATCTAAAAAAAAAAGCTGTCCACCTGTCCATTTCACAGAGAGGGAGAGTGTCTGCCCAATGCCACACAGATGGTAAATAATAGAGTCGGGATTCAAACCCAGATCCTCTCTGACTCCAAATCCAAAACTCTTTCAAATGCACCACACTGTCTCCAGTCTCCAGAAACAGGCTCAAAGACATTAAATGGCTTTTAGTGTTAGGGAGGGGCAATAACTGAGGGTCTCCTAAGGCTCACCCTCTTTATCTCTGGCTGATCCACAAGATTGAGGTCTGAGAAAAAAGATGTCAGACTGGGCATGAAGAAGGCTGTAGCAAGATAACTAAGGGAGAGAGAAATAATTCAGGGAGAGAGAAAAGAGGCCATGATAGTGCTTACCCTCTCGAGCATTGTATAAGTTGTCCTCAATGAGCCGTGCCAGGCCAAAGTCGGCAATCTTACACACCAGGGCCGACGAGACTAGGATGTTGGCTGCTCTTAGATCTCGGTGAATATAGTTCCTCAGCTCAATGAAGGCCATTCCCTCAGCAATCTACAATGTCGAAAACAGAGAATCATCCTCAAACTTAAGCCAAATTCCAAACAGTAGAGGAGGAGCTAACCAAGTAAGTGTTACCCATTGTCTTCCTCCCCTCCCAGAACCCTTCTAGGCCCAGATTAAGATAAGCCTAGGTCCACTAAGACCATCTGGGCTTGGAACAGCTATTGGACTTCTTCTCGATTGTTAGTCTTGAGAGATACCTCAAAGAGCAACTAATCCAACCCATACTTGAGCAAGAATTTTTCTTCTATTGCACCTTGCACAAATGATCATCCAGCCATGAGGTGACTATGTCAAATTTTGAACAACTCCAGTTTAAGTTCTTTCCTCTACTGAACTGCAATCTATGTCCTTATAACTTTAAACCCTTTGTCCTAGAGCTGCCAACAGTAGAACAGGCTGCCCTGGAAGGTGGAAGGTTCCCCATCCCTGGAGGTGTTCTAGCGGAGGCTGGTTGACCACTTTTCAGAAATGTTGTAACGGGCTTGATCCCTGCTCTGATAAAGGTGGGACTGTATCCCCTTCACAACCCTTTCCAGGTCTGAGATTCTGTGTTCACCCCCACCCCATCCTTGTTTGTTTTTGGTTCTTTTTTTTTTTTTTTTTTTGGCAGTTGGGGTTAAGTGACTTGCCCAGAGTCACACAGCTAGTAAGTGTGAAGTGTTTGGTCTGAGGCCAGATTTGAACTCAGGTCCTCCTGACTTCAGGGCTGGTGCTCTATCCACTGCACCACCTAGCTGCCCCAATGACTCATCCTGATTCTAAGAGCAATGCTTTATCCACTGCACCACCTAGCTGCCCTACCACTGCGCCACCTAGCTGCCCTCACCTCATCCTTGAAATGATTGGATATTCACTTTTTGTGTATTATGTATTTACCTACATACATGTTTCTTTCAGTAGAATGTAAGCTCCTTGAGAGTAGGGCATTTTTTCTTTTTTCTTTTTTCTTTCTTTTTTTTTTTTTTGCCTTATCCCCATAACCTATAACAGTGCCTGGATTGTAAGGGCATTTGAATGCTTGCTGAATTGAATTGAATGACTCTCTGAGATCACATAGAATAAAGATGTTCCTTCTTCCCTATAACGGCCCTGAATGTAAATAACAATTGTTTCTGTTTTTGGCCAGAAACCCTGAAGATCTTCCCCTCCCACATCTTTTTTTTTTTTTTTTAATTTAAAGAGGCCATTCTTTGCCTCATTTTTTATTAAGTCTTAATCACTGAATGGGCACTGCCTCAAACTGAGACCTCTTAAAGACTTTAGCTTGAAAAGGCCAAGGTCCCCCACTGCATCCTGGGCCATCTCCAGTTGTCCTGATCCATATCTGGCCACTGGACCCAAATGGCTCCAGAGGAGAAAGTGAGACTGGTGACTTTGCACAACTCTCCCTCACTTAAATCCAATTTGCTTGCACATCATGGCATCACCTCCCTGATGTCATAGTCCTCTTCAAGAACAAAGGACAAATAACAGCTTATCAATTCCTCCCAGTCCTCATCATCCAAGCTAAACATCCTTAAGACAATTGACTGTGTCAGTGTTAACTCACGTCACTTGGACAAGCTGGTTGACTCGACGCTTTTTAACACTTTTTTGGGGGGGGGGAGGGCAGACACACTGACAAATACTGACAAACAGTTCATTTTTGACCTAGAGACAAATGTAATAATGGTGAAACTTCAAAAATGGTTTGAGTAAAGGGGCTTTAGAACACAGAATATTAAACCTGGAAGAGCCTAGGGAACTGAGGATTCAAATCCAAGCCCTGACTCCAAACATAGTATTCTTTCTATCACATGCTATCACCTTAGAATGTGAATACAAAATGTCAGAACTTGAAAAGAACTTGGAACATAGAGCTGGAAGAGAGCTTATAACTCTTCTGGCCCAACTCCTTCATTTCACAGAGGAGGAAACAGGCCCAGAGAAGGGGCACGAAGTGCCTAATGTTGCAGACTAAGAGGCAGGACTTGGCTTTCAAACTCAAGTTTTCTAAGCCTAAATTCAGTAAGCTTTCAAATATCTCATTCTATATTATTCAAGAGGAACCCAGGTAACCAGAAACCTCAGATAACTGGGAATACTTTCCTAGTCCATTTTGAGAGGATGGAAGCAAATGACAAGGAAATCAGCTCATACCAGGGATTAAATACAAAAATCAGTCTCTAGGACACAGGCTAGATTGTAGACTAGAGATCTAGGTGGCACAATGCCTACAGTACTGGACTCATGTCACAAAGACACGTTTTGAATCTTGCCTCAGACGCTTATCTATATGAATGTATGAAAATCACTTAATTTCTTTTAGATTAAGTTTCCTCATCTTTAAAATGAGGATAATAATAATAATACCTACTAGTGATATCATAAAGAAATTAGAGGAGTAAGAAAGAAATTACCAGGAATATCTATGAATAGGAGAAGAGTACATGACCAACGAAGAGATAGAGGGGTCACATAAGGAAAAGTAGACAATTTTGATTATGTAAAATAAAAAAGTTTGTGCACAAACAAAACCAATACAGTTAAAATTAGAAGAGAAACAGGTAAATGGGGGCGGGGAAATCTTTGCAGCAAGTTTCTCTGATAAAGGTCTCATTTCTAAAGATATATGGGGAACTGATTCAAATTGCATTCCCCAATTGATAAATGGTCACATGATATGAACAGTCACTTTTCAGAGGAAGAAATCCAAGTTATTAATATGAAAAAATGCTCCAAATCACTACTATTTTGAGAAATGCAAATTAATGCAATTATGAGATTCTACCTCACAACCTTCAGAGTGGCAAAGTTGACAAAAAAAAAAAAAAAAGAAAATGACAAATGCTGGAGGGGCTATGAGAAAACAGGTACATTAAAGCATTGTTGATGGAGCTGTGAACTGTTCCAGCCAATCTGGAAAGCAATTTAGAATTATATCCAAAAAGCTATTAAGCTGTGTCTATCCTTTGACCCAGTAATACCACTATTTGGCCTATGTCCCAAAGAAATCAAAGAAAGAGGAAAAGGAATTATACAGAAATATTTATAGCAGCTCTTTTGTTATGGCAAATAATTGGAAACTGAGGGGGTGCTCCTCAATTGGGGAATGGCTGAACAAGTTATGGCACATGGATATGATGAAGTTCTATTATGCTGAAAGACATGAGCAAGGTGATAGTTTCAGACAAACCTGAGGCGACTTGTATGAATTCATGCAGAGTAAAATGAACAGAACCAGGACAATAGTTTATACAGCAACAACAATGTAAAAACAAACCACTTTGAAAGACTTAGGAACTCTGATCAATACGTTGACTAACCACAATTTCAGAGGACTTACAATGAAACAGTCTATCCATCTCCTGATAGAGGGGTGATAACTGAGAGTACCAGTTGAGATACTTCTTTTTACATGTCCAATGCAGTAATTTGTTTTGCTTGACTATACATGTTTGCCACAGGGATTTTGTTTTTCTTGATTTCTCAATGTGTGTGTGTGTGTGTGTGTGTGTGTGTGAAAGACAGGAGGGAAAAAAGGTAGATCTTCATGAAAATAAAATAAAATTTAATTTAAAAATAATAACACCTACCTCACAGGGTTGTTGTGGATCTAAGAGGATAATACACATAAAGCCCTTAGTAAACTTTGTGAATGCTGTAAGTGTTAGCTATTATTCTTACTAGGATTGGGACTGTGATTTCATTAGTATAGGAGACTCCCAGGTAAGAAAACTCCATTTACCAATGCAGGATGATGCCTTCTTTGCAACTTACAGTTTTAGAGAATTAAATGGTTTGGCCAATGCTACATAGCCAGTATATATTAAAGGTGACACTGGAACCTGTCTTCTTGGCTCTGAGACAACTCTAAGGTTCATTAGGTCAATTATTATTAAAAGAAGGTTTCTGGCCTTATCCAACTAGGGAATTCAATTAATTGGAACCCCACACCCAAGAAGTCCTTAAAAGCTGAGTTTGGCTCTATTTGTTTTAGTGTAGAGAGGGCAGAGAGAGTAGATTAGGCACCCAGGGACTTTAGGGATCTACAAGCAAGATTGTGGTGTCCTAGGTAGGCTACACCAGCAGATGGCAGCAAATGAACACCATTGTCCCAAAGCCAAACTGTTACTTGACTTTGGCTTTGCTGAGAATCCTTTAGGCTCAAAGGACTTAAAAATGGAAGGGGCCTTAGAGGCCATCTGTTTCAATTCTCTCATTTTACAGATGAGGAAACTGAGGCCTAGAGAGCTAAGGTTACAGAGTTAGTAAATGGTAGAGTCAGATTTTAAACCCAGATTTCTGAACTCCAAAAACTAATGTTCTTTCCTTAACACCATATTCTTTTTTTTTGTTTTTTTTTTTAGGCAATTGGGGTTAAATGACTTGCCTAGGATCACACAGCTAGTACTTAACACCATATTCTTAACCTGAGGGTCTGTAGGCTCCTAAAGGGGGACCTTAAGCTTGGATGGGGAAAAATTATATCTTTGTTTTCAGTAACTACTAGGTGAAATTTGGTGTTTCTTTCGATCATTTAAAACCATTATTCTGAGAAGGGGTCCATGGGCTTTACTAGATTGCCAAAGGGGTCCGTAACACAAAAAAGGTTAAGAACCCTGGCTTTGCATTGGGTTCTGACTCTGTAGTCAGAGTTTTGGGGTTGGACTTTTGGCTATATCACTTACTACCTGTGTAATTAGGAAGAGTCATTTAACCTGTCTGGGATTCAGTTTCTTCATCTGTAAAATGAAGGAGGTTGGACTAGATGACCTCTAAGGCCCCTTACAGCTCCAAATCTATGATCCTATATACCATGCTACCTTTTACATGCTACTGGATGCCGCTGGCCTCCAGGGGCTCAATTCAATGTAATAAATACACATTCATTTATTAAGAGCTCAGTTGATATGGTCTGTATCCTCAGGATGCTCTGAGGTAAGTGACCATCATCAACATCACTGATGAACATTCACCAGGGGCCAGGATTGGCTTTAAGTAAGATTGTCTCCATGTAGCAGGAAGGACACTCGGCTGAGGAGCAAGAGACCTGATTTCTGGGCCCGGCTCAGACTTGGTGTGTGATCTTGGGCAAATCTCTTTATCACTTAGGGCCTTATTTTCGTCTTCTCTCAAGTGAGCCGGTTAGCCTGTACACCTTTCAATTCCTTCCTTTTCCTAACATAGTGAGTTAGTGATAATGCCAGGACTGGACAGGGGGTCTACTGGCTCTTTCCAGTGATTGTTATGATTAGGTTTTCTATCTTAATATTCTATATTGTAAGGACCTTTCCTCCTCTGATATTCTGTTTTGAAGTCAGGAACAAACCAGCTTATTGTCTTCCTGGGGCATTGCACTGGAAATTTCAGAGCCTCATTTTCATATTGTTCTCCTGAGAATGCCCTGGGAGGAGGTCCACTTATTGTATATAGTTTGCCAACCTTAGCTTTGCATAGTCAAAGCCTCTCTGTATTCCCCCCCCACCCGTATTGTTTTTAGGTGTTGTCAGTGTTCCAGCCCTTCTCTGTGCTCATTGGAGCATCCCTGGGAAAGAAGATCTTCCCGAGCTTAGGTGGTGTTTCCCACCCATGCCTCTTTCTCCTCCTTTCAAGGCCTCCCTTGATGCCCTCACATAGAAGTGCCTCTTCCTTCTTTAAATGCTCATGGCACTTTTGGGGACCTCACTCAGGGTCCACATTACACCTTACCTTGTATCTGTATCCCTTTCTTAGCTCCTTGCCAGAATGTTAGTTCTTGAGGAGAGGGACTGTATTCTCCTCATATTTTTATCCTCACTGGGCCTTGCACATAGTAGGGGCCAGGTTAATGTACGTGAATGAATGAACGCTCTTGAGTCCAAGTGTGACCCTTTCCCCACTACACCTTGTGGAATGAAAGCTCTCTGATAGCTGGGATTGTTTAATTCTTTGTATTTATAACTCTGGGGCAACTGGCTGGGACAGTGGATAGAGCTCCAGACCTGGAATCAGGAAGATCTTAGTTCAAATATGGCCTTAGACACTTATTAGCTGTGTGACCCTGAGCAAGTCACTTAGCCCTGTTTGTCTCATTTTCCTCATCTCTAAAATGAGTTGGAGAAGGAAATGGCAAACCACTCCAGTATCTTTGCCAAGAAAACTCCAAATAGGGTCATGAAGAATAAGAAACAACTAAACAACAACAATATTTATATCCCTGGAACCTAGCATAGTGCCTGGCAAATTAAAGGTGCTTCACCAATGCTTGTTTATTCATTGATTGATCATACTCTGTTTGGATCCTAGTTATTTGTATAGCTGTCACCACTAGGGGCACCCTTCCCCCCATCAACCTCTCTTGTCCCACCCCTTCCTACCCCAACCCTTGGCCTTTATGCTTTACAATCTGGCCTGTCTGTATGCCCTGCAGTCCCCTGGCATTATGATCTGACCTCCTTAAATAAACTAAGGCTCCCTGGGCCCTGCTCTCTACCCTATCACTGTACCCTTAGGACTTCAGCTGAACTTCCTTTGCTGTATTCTCTCTCCCAATTACAGTGTGACCTTTTTGAGATCAGGAACTGTCTCACTACTTGTTATTCCCAGCCTTTAGTACAGTGCTTGACACACAGTGTTTGATAAATGCTTTTTTCATTCATTCATGCCGTATCTCCCCTACCACTGTAAGGTTAATGAGGCTAGGGACTGTCTTATTTATCTTTATATCTTCTCCATGGTCCAGTACACAGTAGGCACTTAATAAATGTCTAAATGAAGAATCCAGGGGCAGTTAGGTGGCGCAGTGGATAGAGCACCAGCCCTGAAGTCAGGAGGACCTGAGTTCAAATCCGTCCTCAGACCAAACACTTGACACTTACTAGCTGTGTGACCCTGGGCAAGTCACTTAACCCCAATTGCCTTAAAAAAAAACAAAAACAAAAACAAAACCAAAAAAAAGTGAAGAATCCAGACAAGCAGAGAACAACAGGAAGAAACTTCAGGCAGAAGAAACAGTGTGAGCCTAGACACAGAAGCTGTAAAGCATAAGAGTGTTGAAGGCGAAATGGAGCAGTGGTGAGTCTGGTCTTCTTAGAACAGAGGCTTTAGATAGCAGACCAGTGGAAAATAAAGCTAGAGACACATTCTGGGACATTCAGTGGAGGGGCCTTGAAACCCCAGCTAAATAGTTTAGGCTGTGTAAGGATTGAATGAGATCATGTATGTAAAAGCACTTTGCAAACTTTAAAGCGCTACATAAATGTTGATATTATTATTATTATTATTATTATTTCCTATAGACAATGGGGAGCCATCAAAGTTTTTTGAGAAGGGAAGATACACTGAAAGAACTGCTTTAGGAAGATTAAGACTTTTTTTTGGGTCAAGATTATTGGTATAGTATCATGGAATTAAGACCTAAAAGGTACCTTAAAACATAGACCATATAATGTCAGAGCTGGGAGGAACCTCAGAGATCACCTAGCTCAATTTCCTCATTCTACGGATATAATACTGAGACCCAGACAGATGAAGTATCTTAACCCATGTCATACCCAGTATCACCAGGGCTGGAATTGGCCTTAAGAGTCAAGACCATCTCCTTGTAGTAGGAAGGATACTCTGCTACAGAGGAGGATTAAGTAGCAGATACAGGGTCCTAAACCAAATCCAGTGCTTCTCCCACTGAGTTTCCAGCTTATGGAGACCCCAAAGGAAAACAGCAAGGGGGTTGCTGGGATAGAAAAATGAGTCTTTCCCATGACACCACTGATAATGGGGGGGTGGTAAAGAATTTCCCCAAGGAGGTTACCCTCTTACCTGGGCTGAGAAATCGATGAGCTTTGGTAGGGGTTGTTTTCGGCCTTCATCACTTTTCAGAAAGTCCAGCAGGCTTCCTAGTTGGGGGGGAAGGTGGGAGAAAGAGCTGAGCGGGAGTTCAGGGGCCAGCTGGACTCACTAATCAATGCTGGCTCCCCAGCCCTATTATGTAGTTCTTCCTAGGTAACGGTGGCCCTTGAGTCCAGGTCTCCTGAATTCAAGGCAGTGCTCCATACAGTGCCTCAATCATTTCTTCCTAACTAGACTGCTAGCTTCCCTTCTTTGTAGTCCCTGCAATTCCCAGCACAGGGCAGGGCACAGAGCCTTTCCTCCAGCACAATAAATTAGGGTGATGATCCCACGTTCTTGCCTTCCCCCCTTCTCACCAACGGCAAGGGTATTACTCTTCCAAATCTTCCTCATGTGGCACTTCTCTTTCTTTTCTAGGCTGTGTTCAATGAACTCCTCCCCAATCCCCCCTTCCTCAACTGCAAGTGACCTCTCCTTCATCTGATCTCTTTTTATTCCTCAAAGTACTTCAATCATGGAAACATAGTCTCAAGAGTTGGAAGGGCATTAATAGAAACATAGTGCCCAGAGTTAGGGAGTTTCAAAAAAGAGGCGCCCAAGTGCTATGTTAGAGGAAAGGAATAAATGACCATTTCCATGTTTCTGTGACTAGGGTAGGGGCAGGGAGTGGAATTGACTGGGGTAAAAGTAATGAAGGCTTCCTGGAGGAGGCATTTGATCTGGGCCCTGATGGCCACCCCAACCTTTTGCCATGAACTCAGTGATGATGTAGATGGGCTCTTCCTTCGTGACCACAGCATGCAATTTCACAAGCTTGTCATGTTGCAGAGTCTTCATCAGGTTGGCCTCAGCCAAGAAGGCTTCCACAGACATGCTCCCTGGCTTCATGGTCTTCACAGCTACCTTGGTGTGTTTGTTATAGGTAGCTGAAGGGGGACAGAAATGCGGGTAAGGAGTGGTACCAGAGTGGGGATCCTAGTGGGAACTGCCACCCACACTCTCTTCCTACTCTAAAAGACCTTTCCCAATTGCTTCCACCCCACGGAGGGAATCACCAATTTCTAGACTTCCTTTCTCAGAAGGGAAGACAGTAACTTATCCTCTCAGGGACTTTAAAGGCAAATTGACTTTTGGATAAGCTAGGGGATTTGATTTCTTATCAGAGAAACTGCTTCTTAAAAGTCATTATTCAAAGCTATCCTTCCCTCTCCCACTCCTAGGTCCTTCCCAGAATCTCCCATCCAGCCCAGCCCAGGACTCTTACCCATCCAGACTTCTCCAAATTGCCCAGCTCCCAGTTTCCTCTCCAACTTCAGGGATTCCCTGGGGATCTCCCAGGCATCCTTCTCCCAGGGTTTCTGGGGCTTGGGTACCACACAGGGCCCTGTTAGCTTCTGGCATAAGCCATCACTTTCTTCTGCAACAGAGGCCTAGCATTAGTTGTAGGTGACATCCACCAGTTGCAGAGGGAATATCACCAAATGTACCCAATTCTTTTTAGGGCAGGGAGCCCCAACCAGGCAAGCCCAACCTACTACTCAATTCTAAATTTTAACTTGGATGACTTCTAAACCAGTTGTGGCTGCTGTACCCATCCCACCCCAGACGCTTAATATACATTCATAGTTAGAAAGGACCCAAGAAATTATTTCTCCATTTCCTTCTGAGGCCCAGAAAGGAAAATGACTTGCTCAGAGTTACACAGTTAGTTCTGAACCAGGATTCTGAACGGAGTAGAACCAAATCTTCTGACTCCAAATTCAATGCTTTTATCTCTATACCCAGAGCTCCTTCAGCTGCCTGGGATTCCCTGATGAGGACACAGCTCTTGGCCCCAGGATTTGGGGAATACTCACTCTTGTAGTGGGCCACCAGATCCTGCAGAGTGCTGAAAGTGCTCCGTGGGGAGATATAGAAGCCACCATTGTCCAGGGTCCGGATCTTATAATGTTTCACTGCATCCTGGTGCTGGGCGTCATAGTCCCTTATTGATAAGGAATAGCTGCCTGAATGGGCAGGGGAGGAAAGAGCTCTTGTCATGGGATCTAAGTACCCCACCATCCTTCTTTAACACTCTCCCCCTTCCTTAACCCTTTCTTTCCTGGCAGAGGCTCCCAGTACCATTCACATCATTTCCTCAGCCTTTCCTAGAGTACAACTGCCCTAGACAGTGGGCTACAGCTGAATGAAGAAACTGTCAATGCCACCTTAATAATTCCTCAGTTTGGTCGTAAATGAGGTTGTTGGTGTTAAGCTTCCCTGTGTCCCTTTTCCCCACAACCACCTCATCCAGGCAAGCTCCTTTGGGAGCAATGACTTAGAGGCAAGCACACCCTGGTATAACCCAGATGAGTTGTACAAGACGAAATCTCATACCTCAAATCATTGCTTGCTCTGTACTGATATAAGCTATGTGATGGATAGAAACAATGAACCTTCAAACCCTCTATTAGCACCTACCCCCTGAAAATCATGATGACCTTGCTGGAGAAGACAAGTCAAGTCAAGTGCCATGGCACCATGTGCTCCCATCTTCCAAACTCTCCTACATGTATACTCTGCTCTCATCTGAAACACACACCACAATCACTGACTCTCCCACTCTCTGCTCTCAGGTTGGCTTCTGACCCCCAACCTTATCCTGGGCTGTGTAGCTTCCAGCATCCTCTAAATAGCCCCCTTCAAAATGCAACTGATTGTTCCTCTTCTCAACCACTCTTAGGGCTGTGAGAGGCAAGGAGGTAATCTTGGTGCAAAGGATAACAATGGAAACTCTCTTCCACTTTAACCCCAACAATAAACCAGTCAACTGGATGAAAAACAACTTGGACTTGGGCTGTGGAATGTTGCACATGGTGTCAGACAAGGTTACTACATCTATGAGTTTTGCTTCACTCTGTTTCTTTATTACAAAGGAGGGTGGTATATAGACCATGTAGTCAAGTTGAGAATTGGCTCCAAATCTTTTACATTCAGCCTGTGAACCTACTAAGAGAAGACTGCTCCTCTCCTGCCCTCTACTCCAGAATCATCTCCAACCAGCCATAATCTTACAGGCACACACACCTCTATACAAATACTGACAGCAATTCCCATCTCTATAGCACTTCCATGTTCATGCAGTGCTTTCCTCACAACAGCCCTATGAGGTAGGAAGCAAATATTACTATTCTCATTTTGCAGATTAGAAAACTTAGTCCTAGAGATGGGACTTTTCAGGGTCATATGGCTGATTAAGTGGGATACCTAGAATTCTGAACCCTTATTTTTCTGGGTCCAAGACCAAAGCATGCATACATGCGCAAAGGCATATACATGCATACACACGGAAGCATGAACACACAGAATTATCCAGATGCTCACACATGCAGACATCCTTTTTTTGTTTGTTTGTTTTTTAGTCTCTACCATAGTTACCACCCCTCCACCTGATCAAGTACAATGAGCAAACTCTGGGCATCTTGGGCCTTAACATACTGGTTGTTTCGCAGGGGCATAGATTTAGAAATGAAAGCAATCATAGAGATCAACAATCCAGCCCCTTGTTTTACGGATGAAGAAACTGAGGCTCAGAAAAGTTAAGTAAGCTACTAACCTTACTTAAAGCCATGCCAGCGACACAGTCTGGATTTGAACTCAAGTTCTGTGACTTTAACCTGGAGCTTTTTCTGTTCTATTATACAGTTAGAACCTCACAGTGTTGCTTAACAGATTGATTCAATTCATCACTATTCATAGGAGAAGATTCTAAACTTTCTCCTTTCTTTTCAACCCCCCTTCTACATTTCTTCCTCATCCATCTCTTTTACCTCAAAAGACTTTCCTTCTTACTTTACTAAGAAGATTAAGGCTATCCAGTGTAAGCTCCCTCATCCTCTCTATTCCACACCTCAAAACTCCTCTTCACTTTTACCCACCCTCTTTTCCTTTTTGATGATTTCCGAGGGGCAGCTAGGTGGCTTAGCAGATAGAACACTGGGCCTGGAGTGAGGAAGACTCATCTTCCTGAATTCAAATCCAGCCTCAGACACTTACTAGCTGTGTGACCGTGTGGAAGTCACTTAACCCTGTTTACCTTCATCTCCTCATCTGTAAAAGGAGCCAAATGGGGTCGTGAAGAGTGAGACAAGACTCAACAAGACAAACTACAAGGAAAAAGTAGTTCTCCTTGTCAAGGCCAACTCAGTTCCTCTATTTTGTACCCCTGATCCCTTCCCTTCCATCTCTTCTAGAAACATGTTCTATCCTGGGGTGGGGAACCTGGGGCCTTGAGGCTGCATGTGGCCTTCCAGGTCCTTGAGTGTGGCCTTTTGACTGAGTCCAAGTTTTACAGAACAAATCCTTTTATGAAGGGGATTTGTTCTGTGAACAAATCTCCTCTCTCACCTTTACTCTATCATCTTCTATTGGCTCCTTTCCTGCTGCTACAGACACTTCCTGTGTCTTGCATTCTTAGAAAGCCTTCGCTTGACTCTATCACCCCTTAAGCTAGTATCTTGGAGATCTCCTCTGTTGCACTGCCAAGTTGCTGGCCTCTCCTCTAGCTATCTTCACTTCTTCACCACCCACACATGTCTCCCTCTTTTAGAAAGTGTCTTCAGCTCCTACCTATTTGCTAAAACAGCTCTCTCCAAGATTACTAATGATGTCTTCCCTTCTAAATCCCATTGCCTTTTCTCAGTCCTCAGCCTCCTTGACTTCTCTGAAGCTTGTGGTACTCTTGGACACCCTCTCCCCCCAGACATTTTCTCAATCGATGGTTCTCATGACACTGCTCTCCCTTGGTTTTTCTCTTAACCGTTTGACTGTTCCTCTCCCTTCTCCTTTCATGGTTTAGCATCCTTTTCTTAATCCCTACATATGGTTGCTCCACAAGGCTCTGTCCTGGGCCCTCTTCTCTTCTGGTTCTACATCATCTCTCACCATTTCCCATCTCTCTGCTGATGAGTCTCAGTTCTATATATCCTAACCCTAATTTCTCTCCTCAGCTCCAGTCCCCCATCACCAAATATTTGCTGGGTTTTTCTACTTGGATATCCCTTTGGCATATCAAAATCTATATGTCCCAGCTGACCTAATCATTTCTCCCTCTATATCTGACTTTCTTCCAAACTTCTTATTTTTCTGTTGAGGGCACTAACATTCTTCCAGTCACCTAGATTCATAATCTCAGAGTCATCCTTTCCTCTCTCCCCTCTCATATCCTCCATATTTATTCAGCGGCTAAATCTTATTAATTCTACAACTATATGTCATGTCAATCCTTTTCTTTTTACTCAAAATCTAGCTGGGGAGACAATATATACATACAGAAGCATATATAAAACGTATAGATGGGGGGCCAGACAGTAAATCCATGGATGCGAGAGATGGAATGTCACGTATGAGGAACAACAAGAAAGTCAGTTTGGCTGGTAGAAAAAAGGGAAGGGAATAATCTGGAAACGTAATTGGGAGTCAGGCTGTGAAGGATTTTAAGTGCCAAACAGAGGAGTTCATATATTTGATTCTGCATGTAATGGAGAGCCATTGCTGTTTACTGAGTAGGGGAGTGACATGATCAAACTTATACTTTAGGAAAATCACTTTGGTAGCTATGTGAAGAATGAATTAGAGTAGGCCTGCACAACCTGTGGCCCGCTGGCTGTAAGTAGACCACAGGCACACCAAAGGATTTCAAGCGGCTGGCAAAAGATGTAGAAGATGTTTTCCTCTACATTTTTCACCAGCCTCCCAAAATCTTTTGGTGTGCTGAAAGTGGCCTGTGGACTGCAGGTTGTGCAGGCCTGACTTAGAGATACAGGGAGAATAGTTGAAAGGCTATTGCAGTAGTCCAGGTGAGAGATGACAGCAGTCTGAACTAGGGTGGCAGCTGTGCAAAAGGGAAGACAAGGATAATTTGAGTGATGCAGTGAAATAAAAACAATAGATTTGACAACTAATTAGATGTATGTGGTAAGTGAGAGTGAGGAGCTAAAGATAGCAAAAAAGTTGGGTGCCTTAGTAACTGGAGTAATGATAGTACCCTCCGCAGAAGTAGGGAAGTTTGGAGGAGGAGTAGATTTAGGAAAGATAATGAATTTATTTTTGGACATGTTGAATTTGAGATATCTTCAGAACACTGAATTCTAAATGCTCAGCAGGCAGTTGGTGATGCTAGACTGAGGCTCAGGAGAGAGTCTAGGGCTGAATAGATAGATCTTGGAGTCATCTGCACAGAGATGATAATAATTAAACTTAGGTGAGCTGATGTTGTCACCGAGAGAGTATAGAAAGAAAAATGGAGCCTTGGGAGACATCCAAAGTTAGGGGACATGGTATTGTGATGATCCAACAAAGACTGAGAAGAAATAGTCACACAGATAGGAAAAGCAAGAAAGGACAGGGTTAAGAAACCCAAGAAAGGACAGGGCTAGGAAAACCAAGAAAGGACAGGGTTAAACAAACCCAAAGAGGAAGGAGCTTTCAGGAGGAGAATATAGTTAATAGTGTCAAATGTGGTAAAGAAGTCAAGAAAGATAAAGAATGAGAACAGGCCATCAAATTTAGCAATTAAAATCAGTGACTTTCAATGGAACAGTTTCAGTTGAGTGATGGAGTAAGAAGTCAGATTGAAAAGGTTTGAGAAGTGACAGGAGAGGAAGGGGAGGCAATGAAAGTAGACAGATTTTTCTAGGCTGGAAAGGAAGGAGAATGATAGTCTGAGGGCTCAAATAGTTGTAGTAGGATCAAGTGCTGGGTTTTTTAAGAGTGGGAAAGACTTGGGTATATTCATAGACAAAGAGGCAGTAGAAAGAGAGAGATTAAAAACTAGAGAGGTCCATTGGATGATAGTGTGGACAATCTGCTGGAGAAGAGAGGATGGGATCCAGAATACACATAGAGGGGTTGGCCTTGGCAAAGAGAAATGCTATCTCTTTATTGGGGATTGGAGTAAAGGAGGAGAGAAACGGGGGATCATGTCAAGGGGTTGTGAGATGGAAAGGAGAAAGAAGGGAGCTTAGGCAAATGGGTTCTATTTTCTTGACTAGTCAAAGTCTTCAGCTGCAAAGCAAGGAGATGGTGTGGGAAATGTTAAGAGATTTGCATTAGCTACTGTGGGAGATGGAGCAGAGGATCAATTAGGGAGGGGTAAAGGGATTGTCTTGCAGTAAGGGCCTGGTAGAGATTAGATAGCAAATTTGTAACAGACTTTTCAAAGTTGTGTGACTTTCTCCAGCTCCATTGAATAGCACTTGAGTAGGAATAGAGAAGGAGTAAGCCAGGGCTGGAGTTTTGCCGGGCTTTACTATCCTTCACACAGTCCATGTTGTTCTCCAAAGTCAAGGTTCATCTCCTACCTCTGCACATTTGCACAAGTTGTCGAATGAACTCCATCTTCTTTCTTTCTTTCTTTCTTTCTTGTTTTTTTTTTTTTTTTTGGTAAGGCAATTGGGGTTAAGTGACTTGCCCAAGGTCACACAGCTAGTGTCAAGTGTTTGGTCTGAGGCCGGATTTGAACTCAGGTCCTCCTGACTTCAGGGCCAGTGCTCTATCCACTGCGCCACCTAGCTGCCCCTCTATCTTCTTTCAAAGTATACTTTAGAAATTGCCTCTTTCAGGAAACTTTCCCCTATCCTCTCCCCTGTCTGTGGTCTCTCCCTACTCAAATTACTTTGTGTTTACTTTTTTGTATACATGAATGCCCCAATAGGACATAAACTTATTAGGGCAAGGACAATTTTGCTTCGTATCCCAGTGTCCAGCACAGTGTGTGACACATAATGTGTGCCTAATAAATGTTTGTTGAATTGAATAGTAGAAATATCTCTGGACACAGAGACAGAAAATCTAGTTTCAAATTCTAGCCAGGCCATTCACAAGTCACTTCACTTTTGAGTTTCAGTTTACTCATCTCTAAAATGGGATAATAGCATTTGTACTCTTTACCAGGGCAGTTTAAACTTGAAAGCCCTAAGGAAATACAAACTGCTATTGTTGTTCAGGGGTTTGACTAAGGAAAGGGCTATGTCCATATGGTAGGGCTGGGCTGCTCCGGGGGGACCGCTCCTCACTTGTCCTCCAGGAATCATAGGACCATAAAATGTTAGAACTTGAAGGGGCCTTAGAAATAATCTAGTCCAACTCCCTCATTTTATATATGTAGAAACCAAGGTCCCAAGAACGAAAAAGCCTTGCCCAATATTACACAGGCTGGAATTTGAACCCTAAGCCCGTGACTTCAAATCCGATACTCTTTTTGCTGTACCAGCTTGGGATTGCCTGCCGACCTGTGTCTCACTGCCACCTGAAGACTTACCTTTGGTGGTTTCACTGTCCCGAATCATGAAGGAGCCCAGGACGTTCCCAGGTGCCAGCAGGTGACGCTCTGCATCCTTACGGCTGATGTTTTTGAAGAACCATCTGTGACAGGAGAAGAGCAAGGTGTGGGGGTAGGTGTGGGAGCTGAGAACCAGGAGAGCCCACAGTGCAATCTTGCCTCCTGGGACATGCTGGAGTCACAGTAGAGAATCATAGTAACTCTGAGTGATAAAGTAGACTGTGAGCAAGATAACTTGCCTGGGATTCAGAGAAGGCAGTCCCAAAGGTAAGAAGGTGAAGATGTTAAACTAGATTCTTTCCATTCTTCAAGGCCCAGCTCACATGTTACTCACTCTATGAAGCTTTCTGTGATCTCAAAGACTTCATACTCTTCCTCCAGGTTTATCGTATTCAGATGTGTCTTATATTCATTCCTCTGTATCCATGGCTTATCTGCCTACTAGACTGCAAGCTCCCTGAGGACTGGCATTGTATGTCACTTATTTTTGTATTTCCTTGAGAGCTGAACACAGAGCCCTGCATATAGTAGGTTCTGAGTGTTTGTTGAATGAATGTAGAGAGATCTAGGATAAAGTATTCGAAGCAGTGCATAGGGTGAGAAAATGTGAGATTGTTTTTACCTCCAGGAAACACCTGGTGATGAAGAGATTTCACAGAGCACCATGGCCTTAGAGTGCAGCAGAAAGAATTTAGGTTAGACTCAAGGCAGAACTTACTATTTGGGAGGCTGTGACACTTTTTCTGGGAAGATATTTTAGAACAGGATAGATCTTCATCCATCTGAGATGGTCTAAACTAAAGCATCCCAGATTGGATATAGGTCACAATCACCCTCTCAACCCTCTGTATCTCTATACTTCCTTCTCCAAGGGTAGGCAACAGGTATACTTACTCCTCTGTCTCCAGCGAGTTGATCTGAGCTACATAGTTACTTGGGATATAGCCCTCCTTCCGGGTTGCAAGAGAACGAGCTTTCCACCACTCTCCAGACCTGCAGGAGGAGAAAATAGGATCATCTCACTGTGGCAGAACTAGAGTGCTTCAAACCAACCCTTGACCCCTCTGTTTCTTCATTAGGGAGTGAGATACAGAACTCCAGACTTAACCTGAAGGTCAAAGAGTGTCAGTGTTGGGCATCCAACAGAGGAGGGGGTTGGGCTTATTATTTCTTAATTATTTCTAAGGTCCATTCCAGCTCTAACATGAATGAGCGTTACTTTCACGCATACGAATTAGGAGTTATGTTCTCCTTCAAAGTTCTCTTAGGAAGCTTCCCTGAGCTTTGCAGGTGACCCTGGGCTCCATATAAGCTCTGGCTAGTGCTAGATAGCTAAGAAGATATCTAGTACAGGTGATGGCTGAAGACTTATCTGAGGACCGACAAATGTGAACAGGTTCACAAGAAGATGGACAACAAGAGATGAAATTTTGTGGCCACAAAAACTGTGTGTGTTTTGGGACAAGAGTAGATCTTGGCTAAGACAGGACTATAGGCAGCAAAGAGGCTTGCCTGTCCCTTCCAGAGTTTTGACATGAACCTACTGTAGGCTCAGCCACATTCAAGGAGAGTAACACTAGGCCAAGACCTACTTTTCTAGGACCACCATCTGGTCACCCTTCCGGAAGCTGAGGTCCTCTCTGTGGATGGCCTCATAGTCATAAAGGGCCACAACTGTGATGTCCGTATTCTCAGAGCCTGTTGGGGAATGGAGACACATGTATCATCAGGAAGTGTCAGGTCATGGCTAAGCCTACCTTCCCCCCACCCCTATCTGCCCTCTACCCCCTGGATTCTTTCTCCTATGTTTCCCTTTCCTGTGTGTTTCTTTTTACAAAAGAACTTTTACTATAAATTTAATAACAATTTTAAAAAATATTTAAAGAAAACACACAAACTAAACTGTAGAATAAGAATAAGAAACTGAAGAAGAAGAATAAGAAAAGTATAGTAGAAAGAACACTAGATTGCGAATTAGGGGACTTGGGTTCTATTGCTAGTTTTGCCATTGAGCAAGTCACTTCTACCCTCTTTCCCCCCCCCGCCTACCCTGTAATTTCCTCTTCTGTAAAATGGGAATAAGAATACGTGTCCTTTCTGTCCTGTGGGACTGTTGTAAGGAAAGCACAGTCCTATCAGAATATGAGCAGCTATTATTATCACTGTCCTCAGAGGTGCCGATAGGGCCATCACACGAGAGAATGTGTATAAGGTACTTTGTGAACAGCAAAGTACAATAGGAATATGATGTTATTTTTTCATAATCATCTTTTATACTTTAAAAGACTACATAGAATACCCATTATACAAAATAACAGTAACATCTAATTTGTTCAGTATCTCCATCTGAGCTTTTATAAGTCTATCGAAAGTTTTGGTGTTATTATTTATAACTTCAGAATGTTTTTTGTCGAGTAGTGAAGGGGCTTAGCATCCCAGTGTCATATAAAGAGCACTACATGAGAAATTAGGAGACTTCAGTTTTAGACCTTGCTGTGTGACCTTGGGTGAGTCCCTTCCCTGGGCCTCAGTTTCCTCCCTCTGGAAAAGGAGCATATTGGAATAGATTGTTTTGGAAGGAGGGGAGAAAGGAGGGAGGAAAAGAGGAGGAAAGAGAAGGGAAGAGGGGAGGGGAGGAAGGGGAGAGGACTCAGAAAGGCAAGGAAACTTTGGTTTCCAAGGCAAGATTCTTCCTGCCTTGGAGCTTCTCTGTTTCCTCCTCTGTGCAACTCCTAGTTCCCTATCCCTTTCCACCTCACCACACTCCTGTGTGACTCAGAGATGACATACCATCAGAGGAGATGACCTGGTTGACGCTGGAACCACTGACTACCTATAGAGAGTGAAGAACAGGGTCAGGATCAAAGAAAAAAATGAGTTTGGAGCTTGATGGGGATCTCAAAGTTGAGCCTCTTTATTTTGTAGAAGAAGATACTGAAGCACAGAAAGGGCATGAGTCTTGTCCAAGGACACAACAGAAAATCAATGGCAGAGATGGAACTAGACACTAGGTGTCCAAACTCCCAGCCTAAAGCTTTTTCCACTGTTCTATACTGCCACCTGAAATTCTCAGCAAGCTGAGAACCAGTGAGAAGATATAACATCTCCTGGAGGGATGGAAGGAAGTGGGAGGGAAGGGGGATACAGGGAGAGTTGGGCAGTGGAAAGAGCCCTGTATTTGGAGCTGGAGGATCTAGGTTCCAAATCTGTTTCTCCTAGTTACTCTCTGTGAATTTGGTCAAGCCTTAGTTTCCTGCACTATAAAATGAGAGGTGAACTAGATAATCTTTGAGGTTCCTCCTAGCTCCAGATCCTGTGATTCAGTTGTTATGGACAAGCCTGGGGCACCCTGGGATAAGACGAAATGAAATGCTACAGCAAAGATGGCTGAGAGTCTGGGATCTTGCATAATAGGTGATAAATAAGGGAGGGCTGGTTTCCAACTTTGTGTAGGATTCATCAGGGTCTTAAGGGGCTAATACAAGAGGGTACTGGAGATTTGGGGATAAAGAATCAGTTACCTTCTAGAGACTTCAAAGCAGATCTGTCCAAGGGCATTGGAGACCAATACCATGGACTAAGGGCTCTCTTTGGGCACAACCCCCACAAACAAGGTGGGAAGAAAATAGAAAAGAAAGGACTGTTCCTCTTGGCACAAGTCAAACTCACAACATAATGAGGAACTCACTCTTCCCACCAAACCTGAAGCCTTGCTCACCTTTTTTCCAGAGGATGTTGGATCTGGCACATACACAGGGCCCTGGGTATTTGTTTGAGACTCTTTTTTGAAGAACTTCCCACCATCCTGGGTAAACCTGGACTTCACACACCCCATCCTAGGATAGAAAAGGGGGAATGTGACTCTGTGCCCATAGCATCCCCATGGACCCAATCAACCCATTAATAATGATATCCTTTTCTGGGTGTTCAGTGTAAAAGACTCTATATGCCAAGGGGCAAGAGATACAAATGCAATAGAGATGATTGTGTTTTTGCAATATGATTGGCATAATTAATCACATAAACAAAAACCCCAATACCACATAATTATATTAATGGATATAGAAAAAATTTTCATCAGAGTAAAACATTCACTTATTTAAAACAAACAAAACAAAAGTACAGACATGGGTGGGCCCTTCTTTAATGTAATCAAAAGTACAGATCCAGAACTAAGAGCTAGCACTATTAGCAAGATAGAAGCATCGAAAGCTTTTCAAATAAGCAAAGGGGTAAAACAAGGATTCCTCCTCTCCCTACTATTATTTGACATAGCACTAGAAATACTAATGATAGCAATAAAAGAAGAAAAAGAGATGAAATATAAGAACAGCAATGAAGAGGCAAAATTCTCCGTTTTTGCAGGCAATATTAATCACTTATGTAGAAAGCCCCAAAGAATCAGCAAAGAAATGAACCACAATGATTAATAGTCTTAGCAAGATAATAGGATACAAAATAATCCACAGAAATCCCTAGCATTTTTATATAGTACAACAAAAGTATATTACATTACACCTCTAAACAGTGGGAAAAAGAAATGTCACTCAAAATACCTAGAAAACACAGAAAATATTTGGATGTTTACCTAAGTTACACAAAGGATTTATAGGAAAATATTATTAAACACTCTTTACTGATGGAGCCAGAGGGATGTACAGATTCTTTCAGGGAGAGTAGTTCCCTATTATTCTTTGGGTGTCAGATACTTTGATTAATATTACCCCCATCTACTGGAAATTTCACTCTTAAATTCAGCATATTATTAATGAATCCCTTAGACCTCTTAGGATAGTGAAAGCAAGACAGTTTAATTAGTGGTAATATAAAAAATAATAGGAACAATAGCAGAAACTCTGTACCTTCTCTATAGGAATAAAGGAAGGCTTAAATAATTCATTGCTCATGGTTAGGCCACAATAATATAATAAGATGATTCTACCACCTAATTTAATTTGTGGGTTTTTTTTAATTATGCCAACCAAACTACTGTGAGTTTCTTTCTCATTAATCTAAATAATACCAAAATAAATTGGAAGAACAAGATGTGTGAAGAAAATAATGAAGAAGAAAAGGAATAAAGAGGGCCTAGAATTACAAGGACACATATGATATTATAAAGCAGTAATAATCAAAACTATTCAGTATTACTTTAAAAAAGTGAAAAGTAGATCAGTGGAACCATCTAGAAAGTGAAGATGCAGAAGGAAAACATAGTACCCCAGGATTCTGTAATCTCAAGAACACATTGCTGGGGAATAGATTCCCTAGTTAACAGGAAATATTGGGGAAACTGGAAATACTAGAGGCAACTGGTGGTGTAGTGGATAGGGTACTGGGCCTGTCAGGAGTCTGGAAGTCTTGAGTTCAAATGGGGCCTCAGACACTTACTAGGTGTGTTACCCTGCACAAGATACTTCACCTGTGTCAGTTTCCTCAACTGACTCTACCTCATAGGGTTGTTGTGAAGATTAAATGAAATAAGAATTGTAAAAATCACTGAGCACATTCCCTGGCACATAGTATAAATGCTGTATGAATGCTTATTCCCTACCCCTACTATTATTATTATTATTAATAAAGAAGACATTGTATGTATATAGCATTTCATGGTTATAAAGCATTTTCACATTCACCTGTGCTGAACTAGAACATTCAAGGCAGCGGACAGTGAACATGGATAATCTAGGCAGTTGGGTCAGCTCTTAGCTATTGCAACAGGGGCTGCTCCCTATTGGGTCCAAATGAGAGCCAGGAGGGCACAATAGATAGAGGGCTAAAATTGGCATCTGGAAGTCTTGAGCTTGAGTCTCATCTCTGGGATTATCTGAGTGACAGCAAGTCATTTAATCTTTCTGAGCCTTAGTTTTTTTCATCTATAAAATGGGGAGTAGAGCTCCTATCCTCAAGGATCCTGTGATGATGGAAAAAGGTATCAGTTAGTTCTCTCTCAAATGCCAGGGAAGAAGGGAAGGATTGGGCCAGGCATCAGAGGCCCTCCTCTTAATGGTAGGAGTACTGGTTTCTGAGGCTTTGGTCTTGGGCTGTGTTCTAAAGGCAAGGAAGGGTTTGCTGTTTGAGATTCTGGTCCTAGAGATGAGTCCTCATGTCCGAGTGAAGAAAGTAGATGTAGTCTTAGGCTGCATGAAAGAGAGACGTGGCATCTAAAATGAAAAAGCCCACGGGACTTTGCTCTGGTTAGATCATATCACAATATTTTGTCTATTCATCCCCTATCTCCATTCCCATTCCCATCCTAACCAAAGCTCCCATCACCTCTTGCCTGACTTCTGAAATAGTTTCTTATTAGGTCTCCTTGCTTCCAATCTCTTGTCCTACAACCCACAGTGTCTAAATCAGCTTCTTGTGTTTTTTTTTTTTTTTAGGCAATTGGGGTTAAGTGACTTGCCCAGGATCACACAGCTAGTAAGTGTCAAGTGTTTGGTCTGAGGCCAGATTTGAACTCAGGTCCTCCTGACTTCAGGGCCAGTGCTCTATCCACTTCGCTACCTAGCTGCTCCTAACTGATTCTAAGTCAGCTTCTTAATACACACCTGTGATTGTGTCCTACCCTCCATCCCCTCAATCAATGAACAAGCATTTATTAAGCACTTTACTATGTACCAGCCATGATGAAAAGTGCTGGAGATACAAAAAGAGAAACAATCCCTGCCCTCAAGGAGCTAATGTTCTAATGGGGGAAGACAACATATAAAAAAGGAGCTGAAAAGTAGGAGGTGGAGAAGAAGATAGAGTCAATAATCAATAAACATTTATTAAGCACCTACAATGTGCTAGGCATTGTGCTAAGCATTGGGTATACAAAGAAAGGTGAAAAGCAATCCCTGCCTTCAAGGAGTTCACAGTCTAATAGGAGATTGCACATAAAAAGAAGCTAAAAGGGAAGGAGGAGAGAGGAAGAGGAAAGGTGGAGGGAAAGAAGAGAAAGGAGGGAAAGAAGGGAGGGAAAAGGGGGAGGGAAAGGGCACCCTGTGAAGGGGCAGGATGAATTCCTGTAGCCAGGTGGGAAATGATGAGATGACCATCCTGGGCCCCTTCCTTAAATAGAAGATCTGGGAGGAGGTCTCCCTATGTTCACCTCACCCCCACCCCATCCAATCATCTCACTCAGCTGCTCATCTGGACTTCATCATTGTCTCCAGAAACTGGTTTTCCTATAAGATCACATCAACTTGGAAACACACCTCCTCAGTAGCCCTTGCCCCTTGGGCTCCTCTGATTAGAGCGAAGGAGGTAATCACTCTAAGTCCAGAGAATCAGGGCTGACTGGTCTGGGTCTTTCTCCAAAACAGAGATTCTAGGGAGAACTCACCAATGGGAAAAGGATTGGGTTGGGGCAGAAGCAGAGGAAGCTGAGGCATAGTGACTAAGTCCCCTGCTCAAAAAACCTTCAATAGCTCCCTAGTGTTGTTCAATGCAATGACCTCAAGTCTGAGAAGCCAAGAATTTTGGCTGTGACCACAATAACTAGCCAGGTGTTGAGCAAATTATTCTTCCTCACTAGGCTTCAGTTTTCTCATATGGAAAATAGGGGGTGGGACTAGACGAATTCTATGTTCTATGAATAAAATCTAAACTCCTTTGTTTGGCATTCCAGGCCCTTCACAATTTGTTCTCAACGCACCTTTCTAGCCTCCCTCCCTCCCTCCCCTCCTCTTCCTACCCTGCCACTGCTTCTCTTTACACACACTCAGCTTAGTTAAAGGACCATTTGCTCAATATCTTGCTTTCACTTTCCCTACTTCTGAAACTCCTCCTCTCATCTCTCCCTCTAAAGACTGTTCCTCATTAAAAAAAATCATCCAGCAAGCTCTATCTTAGATACCTCCTTTTCCAGGGAGACTTCCCTAATTCCCTCCCCCATTCATTTGAAGCAATCTTACACCACTTTGACCCTCTCAAGTTCTCTTCACATTCTTCCATGCATTGTAGCTTTTTGTGTTCTTATCTAATCTTTCTGCTAGACCAGGGAGTCTTAATCTTTTGGTGAAACTCACGGACTCCTCAGAATAATATGTTTAAAAGCATAAAATAAAATACATAGGATTACAAAGGAAATCAAAGGTTGGTGAAAATAGAGATGTAATTATTTCCCATCCAAATTCATAGACTCCTTGAGTGTCTGTGGACCTTAGGTTAAGAAATGTCTGTACTAGACTGTGGTCTTTGTGAGGCCATGAGCTCTCAATCAAAGACTCAAAGAATGTTAGAGTTGAGAGAGGCCTGAAAATGATGTTAGTGCATAGAATGTAAGGACTGTAAGGGATCTTTGAGTATATAACAGTGGTTCCTAACATGTGGACTGTGGACCTTTGTGGAGGCTCATAAAATTATTGCAAGGAATTCTCAAATCTAAAGGCAGTGTAGTGGTGCAATGTGGATAGTACACTAGACTTGGGTCTAGTGAGGCAGGAAGACCTGAGTTCAAATCTAGCTTCAGATGCTTATTAGCTATGTGACCCTGAACAAGTCACTTGACCTCTCAGCCTCAGTCTCCTAATTTGTAAAATGGGGATAATAATAGCATTTACCTCCCAAGATTGTTGTGAGCATCAAATGAGATAATATAGGTTTTACAAACTTTACATACTTTTAAGTGATATATAAATATTTATTGTTATTATTGTTGTTACAATGTGCACACCAAACTTTGTCATTTATATTACATTTCATTTGTGGTTGAGAGGGAAAAAAGTCCTTTGAACCTAGTCTTCATACACAAAAGCACCTGGTTGGCTTGTGGATACCTGTTTTTTCTGATTGCCCAGAGCCATCTGATAAGGCTAAATGGACCAGATGCCTTTTCTCTACAACATACGTTTGTGAAAGTGGATTTTCTGCACTTGTATTGAAATCTAAATATTGAAGCAAGTGGCATGTGGAACCAGCTCTAAGGTTCATAATTTCATCCTTTCAACTAGACTTACAGTACTGAAAGCTACAAGCTGGGCTCTGTCTACTATCTCATTAAATAACCAGTGTGACCCACAAGTAAGCATCCTTTATGAACTGAGTAAAGAATGTATCCTATCACAATGTTTCAAGTGGACACAGATACTGTTATAATTGATAAAATATAAATTCACTTAAAAGCATTATCAAATTCATTGTAACTTTTGGTCAGGGTTTTTGCACATTTTTTCCATCAATATATGTAGTGGTGGTCCTTAAATTTTTTTTATCATTAAGAAAGAGTCCTTAAACTCTGAAAAGTTGGGAACCACTGGCATAGAACATAGAATGCCATAACTATAAGAGTTCTTAGAGACCATTTGGCCCAACTAGATAATTTTTCAGATAGGGAAATTGAGGTCTGGATAAGAGATGCTATGGACTCAAGGTTTCCTAGCAGACCACATATCCATGGCCACAGATTCACTTGCTCTCATACTAACCTCAGAACTCCAGGACAGGTGGATTACAGTCGGGGGTAAAATTGAAGCCCAAATGGCAGAAGTGACTTGACCAAGACATATAGAGAACAAGTTCAAAACTACCAAGTAGCCAGGTGGTGCAGTGGATAGGATGCTGAACTGGATTCAGAAGTTCAAAATCCATCCTCAGATACTTATTAGCCATGGGACCCTGGGAAAGTCATTTAACCTCTGTTTGCCTCAGTTTCTTCCACTGTAAAACAGGGATGACCATAGCATCTACCTTACAAGGGTTGCTGTGAGGATCAAATGAGACAGAATTTATAAAGCACTTGGCACATAGCGTGGGCCTAGTAAATACTTATTTCCTTCCCCCCCCAGTCTTTTTATACCCATACATTTCTCATTTAGCCCCCTCAAAAAGAAAAAAAGAAACAAAATACCTAGTCTCCATCTACCATTCTCACCTTAGAGAAATGAAGGAGAAATGGTCAGCTATCTGGGATGGATCTATTACTATCATTTTCACCACACCTGCCTGTGCACTACACCCACCACTCACCAAGCCCTCTATACTTTGTCCCGAAAAGAAGCTTTTACAAGGACAGAGTCTAGGGGGTATTCACACCTTTCATTACCAAAGAGCAGACAGTGCTCAGACTCTGTACAGAGCAAGAGAATAGAAGAGGCTTTGCCTTCTAAAAGTTTCCGATCTAAGGCAGGGCTCAGAAGCAGCACTGGATGATGGAAAGCTCCAGTCCAGGCACTCTGGAAGAACAGTGCTCTGCTATAAATTGTGTGTGATTTTGAAAAAGTCAATTCCTCTTTCTGGGACTCAGTTTACTTCTCAGTAAAAGGAAGCGATTGGACTAGGTGATCCAAAGAGGTCTTTCAGTCTTGACATTTCATATTTCTAGATTTCTTTCAGTTCTAAGTTTCTCTGATTCTGGTTCTAAAGCCTGGGCTTCTGGTCCTTCTGCCACAATATGCTGCCAGGCAGCTGAGTTCTAGGTTTCCTAGCAAAGTTGACTTGAACTATATTAATGGGGACAGGTTGGGGTTAAGCTCTACAAGAAACCATTCTGTTAGAGTTCCCCCCTCCCCAAGGGCAGGAGCCCTTCGGACTGCTCCATGAGATCACAATGTATCCATTTATCTTATCTCTGGATAGGAGTAAAAATAAGGAACAACTGATTGCCCAGGTGGTATGAGAGATCTAAACCTAGAAAATTGGGACTACTGGGTCCTATTCAGAGATCTATCTTCTGAATGACTATGTGAACAAGATGGGATTGGGGATAAGAGTGCGGCTGACTTTGCCCCTCTCTGGGCCTCCAGGAGTCTGTTTGACCCCTTCCCCATTGGGGACAGTGATTGTCATCCTCTTCTTATAGATTGGTGAACATGGGGCAGGAGGTTAGGATGCAAAGGTTAATCAAGATCCTCTGGGACTCTGGAAGGAGGGTCTAGCCCAAGAGGAGCAGAACCCAGCTGCAGCTTAACCGCTGATGCCACCCACACACCCCTCCCTTAGCACCCAGTCACCCCCAGCTGCCCCCAGCTGCCTAGCCCCTCAGACTCACACACCACCTCTGTGCTTCTCTCTAGCTCAGGGACCTTAAGGCCCCTCCTCACATATACTAGTGTCCTGAGAGAAACAGGAAGAGTCTATCTGTTCTTCCCATTTGGTAGAAAGGGAACCTGAGACCCAGAGAGATTAAAAATCTAATCTCAGGTCACACAGCCAGGACTTCTGGTTCCTGTTTAGTGCTTTCTCCATTTAATGTTCCTGAGCCAGGACTATGAAACTGGCTTCTCCCATTTCGTCAACATTATAATCTCTCTTCCCTTTTTTTCCTCCACCTTTCTATCCCTTGGCACATCACTTTACTCTCTTCTCCCCGTTTTCTCTCCTTCTGGAGCACTCAATACACACAACTCTTCCATTCTCCTCCCTCTCGAATTGGGTTCATATTACCACCATCCCATAAGTAGCCCCGAACTGCAGGGACACCACAACCTGCTGGCCCCGTTTACATTACTCATTTCTTCCAGCCCTGCCGAGAGACAGTGGTGATGGTGGGTCTGGATATGCTCCCAAAAGCCTTTGGGACTCACCTGACCTTTAGTCTTCTAAACTGTCCCAAGACGTGCGGCTCCAGCCCTGGCCCAGGCGCCCCCGACTCAGTCTTCCGGGGGCTCCGCCGCTTCTGGGGCATCAGGCTGCCCCAGTGGGGTTGAAAGGAGGCTGGAGCGGTGGTCCCTTGAGAGCCCTCCGGGACTCAGTTTCCCTTTGCACAAGGAGCTCCAGGAGCCTCTGCTTTTCCAGGGGATGGAAAGGTTGGGGAAGGGGAGTGGGTTGGACGCAGGGGGAGTGGTACTCAAACGGACATCCTAGCTCTTCACCCTATCCTTTCTCCCTCTTTCCCTCTTACTTCAATGGTAGGAGTGTCCCTTTGGAGGGAGGCGGGGGGAGACAACAGGAGCTACAAGGAAATAAACCTCATCTTTAGGTGGTCCTCTACTGCTCCTCGGGGCATCTGGGTTCTAACCAGCTGGAGACAAGTTCCGCCTACAACACTTCCACCAGCTCCGGAGCTGTTCTAAAGTTTTAAAGCCACCCTTAAAACTAGCGTTCTGACAACTACCCGAAAGAGTCTAGTCCCGCCCACAGGAGTTCAGACTCTGGACAAAACATTCGAGCCTCGCCCTGAAGCCTTCAAACTTTCCTGATTCGTTTTCATCCCCTACCTCATTTCCCCCAACCCCTCTACTCCCCTCTCCCTTTCCCGTGTGACCCTCCGGGTCGGAGGCACCACTTTCCAGACCCTTCCTTGTTTCCCTGCGGTTAAAGATTTCCTCCTCTCTGCCCCTGCTGTGGGTTATTCAAACCTCATGCAAAGTCCCTAACACAGGAACAATCGCTTTGACGTTTGAGGCCACTGATAGTATTTTCAGAAGAGCTCAGAGGCTTTCTGAGACAGGAAAATCAAGCTGTCATCCATTTGGTTTTTTACTGTCTCGATTGCTAGATTCATTTCTTTTGAGGGATTTCCAACAGATGGTGATCTCTTTGTGATCCTCCAGGCGGTCCTGTTTGTGGGGATCAATGGAAAGAACTAGCGCAGTATAAAAAGCCCTGAATTTAACAGTCAGAGGACAGGGGTTCGCACCCAGCTCTGCCACTCAGCACCTGTGTGACTACAGGCGAGTCATTTCCCTTCTCTGGGTCTCAGTTTCTTCATCTGTAAAATGTGGGAGTTGGACTACATAATCTTTCCTGTCCCTTCCACTTCTTAATTAATCAAAGACTTGGGGGGAGGGCAGGAATTAGATCATTATTTCTATACTGAAGTAACAGGGGGTCCATTTATTCATAATGAGCCCCCGTATTATTTTTTTTCTCTAGACCAACCCTCCTTTTTCTATGCTAGGAGTAGAGAACTGTAGAAAGAGAACGTTCGAGCTGGACAGATGCTTAGAGATCACCTACTCCAACAAATGAGGAAGTTCCTTTGCAAGTTACACAAGCTGACTGTGTTAAGCCACCGAATACCAAAGTCCATGAGACCAGTAGTTACTTGAGGGAAGGGGAGAATAAATGGAAGAAAATATAATTTCCAAAGACTTAACACTGATCCAAATCCTTGTTCTGGCCACCCTCCTTTGGATGCATTCCCAGTTGTCAGTTTGGTTTTTTTTTTTTTTTCCTGACTAGTCTTATGATTTCAACAATGCAGGGAATTCCCAATGAGGAACTTTTTTTTTTAAGGCAATACAGACAGGCACTCACTCTGCAATTTATAGCCTTAGAGAGTTGTCTAGGGGCACTAAGAATTTAAGTGACTTGTCCATGGTCACAGAGCCAGTATGAATCAGAGGTAACTCTCTCTCTTTCTCTCCCCCTTTGTCTCTCCCTTTCTCCATTCATTCCTCTCTCTCCCCCTTCTTCCCTCATTTTTTCTCTCTCCTCTCTCCCTCATTTCCTCCCTCTCTCCTCCTTTCTCCTTCATTTCCTCTCTCTCTCTCTCCTTCATTCTCCTCCTCTCCCTCTCTCTCTCTCCTTCCTTCCCCCATTCTTTCTCTCTCCCTCCCTTCTTTGCTTTCTCCCTCCCTCATTTCCTCTTTCTCTCTCCCTCTCCACTTTCCTTGCTCATTCCTTCTCTCATTCTCCTTTCCTCCTTACTCTCTCCCTCCCTCCCTCATTCCCCCCCTCCTCCTTCCCTTCCTGTCTCTCACCCTCCTTCCTTTCTCATTTCCCCCCTTTCCAATGAGACATTATTTCTCCAAGCTGCCAATATCTTTTTTAAAATGTGAGGCCTAGAATTAAACATCTGGAGTATGGTGTTCATATTTTGTTTAAATACCCATAGAACCTAGGAATTTAAATGGACCTCAGAGATCATCCCTCTAGTCACTTCTTCTATGATATCTCTAAGCAGAGCCTCTGTGTAAACACTTCCAGTGACAGGGAGTCACCTACCTCACAATGAACCACCTATTTTTTTCATATTGATCCATTATATTCTTCCACATTAGGAGCAAAGTACTATAGAAACAGAATTGTAGGAGTTGGATAAGTCCTTAGGTAATCTAGCTCAACAGATGTAAAAACCACATTAAAAGTTCACGTAAGTAGCTAAAGGAAGAAACCAAAACTCTAACTCAGGTCAGTGTTTTTTTCCATGCTGCCTTTCTAAGTGATTTCTAAGGTTCTCTCTAGCTCTGATATTCCAAGCACTATGTTCTAAGGTCTCTTTGAGCTCTTGGGTGGGAGGAGGGGGTGAGGGAAGACACAATGACCATTGCTCAGAGCTCTTATGCTTTGCCAGATGCTGCTGCCATCAGCCCTCAAGGTGTTCCCTAGGAGAGGTTAGTATTATCTTGTTCACTTAGAATTTTGGGTTGGGAGGCAGGAGACTTGGGGTTAAATCTAGCTTAGACACTAATTTGCTGTGTGACCTTGGACAAACTTTCCTCCAGTTTGGGTATGCCATGTTCTAAGACCAATCTGAGTTCTAATGTTGTGTTCTAAAGTCCCTTCCAGTTCTAGTATCCCACGTTCTATATTACAAGGTCTCTTGGAGCATTAATATCCCATGTTCTAAGCTCACCCACAACTCTGATATTCTGAGTCTAGCTCTCTTTATACGTTAACTAGGGAACATTCCCCAAATAATTATGTCTCAATTTCACACCCCAGGAAAAAGCAAATCAATATTAAAACCTTAGTTTAAAAAAATTAGTTATTTTGTACCTCTTGTATTCCTAGCAAAGTACTGAGCCCCTAGTGGACACACACATAAAAATGCACTCATGCATGTATACACACATGTACCCTCACAAGGGTTCACACACAAACACATGCATACAGGTATATATACATATGCATGCATACAAGGCACATTTACATAGGTACATAGTGCACACAAAACACATATGCAATTCACACACATGTATAGTCACACATATGCACAAATACACACACAGGCAGATAGATATATATTCATGCCAACACCGGTATACTCAAATGTACACACATCTACACACAAACACATGCATGCAGGCATATACACACAAGTACACCCACATGTATGCACACCAACACACAATGCAGGCACATACACATGAATGAACACACAGGTACACTCGCATGTATGTACACATACACAAAGTTCCTTGCCTTTGGGAAGCTTACAGCTTTTTTGTTGAATCAAGATTAAGTTTACATTTGTGAAATAGATAACAAGACAAGGGAGCGGTTAGAGTATATATCCTAAACTGTATGGTAAAAGACTCTAAGAACTATGAATGTGGTATACAAGTCAATACTATAGGAGCTCTGAGCTGGGAGAGACAGAGTTCCCTGTGGGTAGGAGTGGTCAAAGAATACTCAACAGGGCTGTGGAGAGACTGGATCTGGATAAAAATGAATGAAGGAAGGAAGGAAGGAAGAAAGGAGGCAGAGAGGGAGGAAAAAAGGAAAGAAAGGAAAAGAAGGGAGGAAGGGAGGGAGGGAGGGAGGAAGGAAGGAGCAGAGAGTGAGGAAAGAAGGAAGGAAGGAAAGGAAGAGAATAAACATTTATTGTTATGTGCCAGGCACTATGCTAAGCACTTTACAATTATTATCCCATTTGATCCTCACAGCAACCTTGAGAGGTAGGTACTATTATAATCTCCATTTTACAATTGAAGAAACTCAGGCAGATGGAGGTTAAATGACTTGCTCAGGGTCACACTGCTAGGAAGTATCAAAGGCTGGATTTGAACTTAGCTCTTCCTGACTCCAGGCCTAGCTCTCTATTCACTGCACCAGTCAGATGATCTGGGCTGGGGAGCTTCAAGAATATGGATTAGCAGACTAGAATCAGGGGCATTCAAGCCGGAGAAGCAGTGTGAGAAAAGAGCTGATAGAAACACAAGGCTTTGTGCTGGAAGAAAGCTCCACTGTCATTTAGAGCCACAAAAATATAGACTTCTAGATCCAGAGCTGGGCGGGACCTCAAGGGCCACCTAGTCCAACCTCTTCATTTTACAGATGAGGAAACTGAGGCCCAAGGTCACCCATGTCAGAAATGCCAGAGATTATATTTGAGCCCAGGTCCTCTGGCTCTAGTGTCAGTGATCTTCATAGCACACCCAGTCCAACCCTTCATATCGCAGAAGAAACTGGAGCCCAGAGACATTAAATCAGTGACATGCCAAAAGTCACACAGGGGACGAGGAGCAGAGTCAGGATTTGACCTTAGCTCCTGACTCTAAATACAATTGTCTAAAGACCCCAAGTTCTTGTTCAGTCATTTCAGTTGTTTCTGACTCTTTGTGGCCCCATTTTGGGTTTTCTTGGCAAAGATACTGGAGTAGTTGGCTATTTTCTTCTCCAGCTCATTTTACAGATGAGGAAGCTGAGGCAAACAGCATTGCTCAGGGTTCTCCTGACTCCAGGGCTGGTGCTCTATCCACTGAGCCACCCAGCAAATATTCGTTCTTATACAGTTCAGGGGTTGACCTAGATAATCTCTATGATTCCTTTCATCGCTATGTTTAAGGATCAGTGTTCCTGGTTCCTGCCTCCTTCATTTTCATTTTCAGTCCCTCCCATTAAAAAACTGTCCCCACAAGGTTGATTGTACCCTACAGCAGGCCTGCCACCAGCTCTTTAGAAAAATTATTTTCATATTTTCAGTGGCATTTGCATTTAATATTTTTAGATTCTCTTGAATTCCTATTGATTGTCCAGGCATTTGATGCAGGACTGACTTGGTGGGGGTGGGGGGAGGGACAGGGGAAAATGCAGTTATTATGGCATAATATTCATTTGCTCCCTTTTGATTTGCCAGATGTTCCTTCCATCACATCACAAAATATTCCTTATGAGATGTTAGCATTTTCTCGCCCTGGATTGACAGGCAGGAGACCTGGGATGAAGACTAGATAATAGTCACTAATTTTCTGAGTGACCTTGGGAAAGTTCACTTCTCCTCTCTGAGACTCACTTGTTTTTTCTGTAAAATACAGATATTAACAACAACAACAACACAACAACTTGTCATACTTATGTCACAGAGTTAAGATGAGGATCTGGTAAGATAATAGATGGGAATGCTCTTTGTTAGGACACTGCAATGTGGCAGAAAGATCAATGGAAACAGGAGTGAGTCCTGGCATTATACCACTAACCCCCTGTGGGACCTCAGGAACACTGCTTCCCTGTTCCAGGAATCAGTTCCTCCTCCTCCTCCTTCTCCTTCCC